GAACGGTTTTAGGACAGCCCCCATATGAAAATCTTAACATTACAAGGATACTCATCCAAACGCTAACCTTCAGGGTACCATGGCTCAGGCTTTTACAGGGGCTTTTTACAAGTTGCTTTGCGGTTAGGACGTCGTCTTTCCAGATTTCCAGAAGCTGCTTCGGGATTGAGGCTTCGTCTTGTCATTGCTGGCCTTGGGATTGCGGGTTGGTGTAACATAGGGGCCTCAACAATCGGAATAGGGTTCACCGGTTTACCATTGCATATGACTGATTACTGCAGGAAGCCCTAAAGATTGCACTGGCTGCTTAGCCCTTCATATTCGGACACGATGTAAATCTGCGCCTTGCGATCTGAGCCCGCCGTAAGGAGAAAGGTCTGCACTCCACGAGGTGGCAGCCTGTGGCCACTGTGGGCTTTCTTGCCTGTAGGGGTTCAGCAATCAGGTGTTCTAACTTCGTGGGAAAGTGGATTTGATGTGTGTGATCTCAAAAAGGTTGACAATTAAATGCTCCGCAAAAAGTGCTGTCTGTGGTGCTGCATAACCCTTATACACACTACCCCGTCAATGCGAAGCGACCTCCGGAAACCCTAAACCCGGAAACCCCGAACTCTGAACCGGAAAGTCTACCCAAGCAGACCCTCGGCTTTGGCTATATCCAACTCCATATTCAAGAGACCAGAATACGATTATTAGCTTATTCGTATTGTTACTATAGCTACTATGAAGCTACGGTTCTTGTTACTATAATTATTATTACTGTTATCATAAATATCAGCAATGTTACTATTGGTAGTATGTCTATTACTGCAACCAATATTTTCTATACATATTATGTTTTTGTGATAGCTGTTGTTCTTATTATTGTTATTGCTATTATTATTGTTATTGCTATTATTTGTTGTTGCTAGTAATATTAGCATGGTATCGTAACCTAAACCCCAAACTCGAAACTTTACACCTTGACCGCAAACCCTAGACCCAATGTGGACATCATTGCGACCCTTTCCAAGCCCCAGGTCCGCACCGAGGGGGCTGCACAGAAACGGCACTTTCGGGATTAGGGTAACGGCTTTAGGACTCGCAGAGAATTCCGGGGCACCTCAAGCATGAATTTAAGCAGGCCTAGAACGCCCTCTGGACGAGGGGGTTTTTGGTTATCAGGGGTCTATAGGGTTTACAATTCCGCGTTTAAGGTTCTAAGGTTTAGGGTTTAGGGTCTGGGTGGGCCCGAAAAAATCCCTAGAGCGCAAAATCTCTGCAACCATCATATGTCCCCGTAAACCCTAAACCTAATCCTCGCACGGCTGCATACCATGAAACAGAAGTTGCACTGGCATCGTGTAGTGTGAGGTCTCTCAGACCCGCCCTAAACTAATCCTTGACTCAGACTCTACATCGTAACCCCACACCCCGAACCCCGCCAGCCGTACCTGTAGCCCTAGAAGCCTAGAGTCTACATCTTCAAGCCAATGATCAGGAAATGAGAACCAGGAGCCCTGAACTAACAAGATTTCGAACTTACAGGTAACCTTATAAACTCCTACACCTACACCCAAATTGGGCCGGACCAGAGCGACCGGACGCTTCCGGTTCCGCTGCTTGCACCAGACCTAGGCGGGTGTCCAGGCTTCGGCTCTCGGGGGTTTATAGGGTTTAGGGTCGAAGAAGTCTCTCTTCAGGGTTTCCTAAGGGTCCATGTACCCCAAACAGATGTACGTACTTTGGCTTCCAAATACCTGCATAGGGACGACTTTACGGCCGCAGTATCACTATTCCGGCACATGGACTCTTTGGGTTTAGGGTTCGTGAGTTGGGGGTTTAGGCTTCCATGGGGGTTTGAGGCTTGTGGCTTCAGGCATTACACTGTGGGTCTTTGCTTTAGGACTTGGGGTGTAGCGCATCGGTGTCAAGGGTCTGTCGTGAATGTGACTGAATGTGTTTACAGGGTTTGGGGCTTCGGGTTTACCCAGGTTGTCCGAATACAGGAGCCAGGGGTTACAAAAGAAGAGGGGTCTTGACTACTGACAGCGTGTCGGATATAATTACAAAGTATTTCAGACATCTATGCTAGGTCTAAGCGAGCCTCTAAGAATCCATTGTTGTATCGGCAGGGGTTGCAACGACGAAACCAGCGGTGGGCAAACAGTGGATCATAAATGAGAATAGTTAACGAGATGGTACTGCCAATAACCAACAATAGTCACACAAAATAACAGCAAGAAGATAGAAAACATACTACTTACTAAGGCTATTAGTAATCTTGATATTGCCAGTTCCAGTATTAATAACAATGAGATGAGAACACTCCCATGCAAGAGCTGTGCAGAGCTCGATTGGCGCAGGCTCCATAAGTAAGGAATACTGGAGCCTGCTCTGTTGACGGATGCCGCTGGGCAAAACATAGTATGCCAACCCTAAATCCTGATCGCTAAAAGCCTAAACCCTAAACCTATAAAACACTAAAGCCCGAAACCGTAAGCTGACCCCTAAGACCAACACCCAAACCCTGCTATGCCCCTGTACCTGGTAATCCCTAAACCCAAACCCACAAGTCCGTAAATACTAGCCCGGAGCCTAAACCGTATTCCCTCTAGTCCTCAAAACCCCACACTCCAAACCAAACCCAAAACCATGAACCCTAAACCCAACACCCCAAACCCTACAAGCCCCAAACCGAAGACCCGAGCTACGCTGTGGGCTGGGCAGGAGTGGACATGGGTCTTCCCACGTTACTCTCGGCACTCCTGAAACCGCGGCCGGTTCCGGGTTCAGGGTGTATGCTTTTGGGTTTGGATTGAGAACTTCATAGATCCTAGCAAAACAGAGGGGCCGTGTGGCTTTTTTTCTGCGGGTCGCACATGGCGGTGGGTGGGAAACCATTAAGCCGAACATGTAGGCTTCGTTCGTCCTTCCCGAGGATTCGAGGTTTGTCGTTGACACTCCGTTCACATTCAATTAGGGTCCAGCGGCTCAAGATTGGCGTGTCGGTGCTACAGACGCGGGCTTCGCTGCCACTAGCACGTTTAACCGAACAAACCCTAAACCCTAAACCCGTGCCCTGTAACCCGTCACCCCGCCTGAATGGTCAGCCCGACAACCTCCTCCGTAACTCCTCAAGGAGGCCCTCGCAATCCAGCAGAACATGAAAGATAAGAAGCTGTCCAAATTCTCGGCACCTGCCCTAAACCCCGAAACACTGCAGCTGAAAAACTTTACACGACGGGCCCATGAAACCCAGAGGGCCTGCAATCCAAATCAAACCTACGCCCGTGGAATGGGGACCTTAAGACATGCAGTACTATAGGGGCCTGAGTAAGAAAGCCTAAGTCTTTCTTAGGGCTCTTTGTGTGGATCCTAATTGGTTGTGCGGGTTTCTTAATCAAGTTCCTACATTAAGCTTGCGGTGTACACCAAAAACACGTATACGAGGACTGAGCTGGGATACAGGCCCCGTACCTTACTCCCGACAAGCCCCGGAGTCCCGAAGCGCCTGCAACCACCGGCAGCTCCACAAGAGTCGGGATGCTCAGTGCATCCTCCAAGCTACGTAGTGCCCATTTGTTCTGCTGCCGGGGTTGGAATTTCATTCATCTGCAGAAAACATATGTGCTCGGTATCTTGGGCAGCTGGTAGCCCTAAAGCCTGACAGGCCGTCATATAACTGTCAATCTTGGAAGCCCGAACCTCAAAACCCAAAACCCTGCTCTGTCAATCAAAATGTTTGAAGGTAAGGGACCCAGCTACCAAAGGCAAGAGGACCGTGCGTTGTCTATCGTGGTCGGCACTAGCAGCATGGCGTAATAGGTTGTAGGTCCTGACACCTCAGAGCCAAACAACTCTTTCACAAGTGTCTGGGAGCCCTGCAGGGGGCTGTTCGACGGTCCAGAACCCTAATGGCAACTTTTGCCCCTAAACCCTAACCTTTTAAAGAATGGCTCCACTGTTTGGCCTTCAAGTAGGTTCTATATAGGTAGTACTTTGCGGCCAGAGTATATCTGTGTATATACATATATATATATATGATCCCGGTT